GGGGCTCTGTTTGGTCTTTGAGCAAGGACCAGAAGACCTCTAGTTATGTAGATGGGGTTTTAAATACTTTGGGAATTTTATAAATCAAAGGCTTTGTATATGTCTCATACAGAAGCTCTGTATCTTAGTTCTGTGTTTTATTTTTTAAAATTATTTTTCTTCAAAAATATCTATAAATAAAATGTATGAGTCAGAGGAGCTCTGATTCTATTTTAGAAATCCTTTTTAATTTATATTATGCTCTTTTGGAACAAATATTTTTTTTGGTCCAGAGGACCTCTAGTTGGTCATTATTCATTTAGATACATAGGCTCTGACTGGTAAGGCAGAGGGGGCTCTGGTCCGTTAAACTAGAAAGGGGGGGGGGATCTGGTCTGTAGAACCAATTGGGCTCTGGTCTGTTGAGCCAGAGGGGCTTTAGCCCGTTAAGTTGAGAGTTTTATTTTGAGCTATGTGTTTCAGACAGGTGCATTTGAATCATGGGTTGAAGTAATCTGTTGATCTCATTTTTATCATCTTGTTGAATTACATTATTTTGCTGAATTGTAAATATTTCTGTGTAAAAGTTATTTTATCAGATTTTGGTGTTCATCACCCTGCATATGTAAAAAAAAGATTTTCTCACTAGACCCTTTTGGTTTAACCCTTATTTTATGTTTCAAAAATGTGCAATGCAGGAACTGTGGGGTCAAGGGATAATAAGGGAAAAAGGAAAATGTAAATGTTTCCCTATACGTTTTCTGCTTTTGAAGATACATGTTGTACATGTTTTATTAGAGGATTTTATTTTGGAATTTTTCATATGTTGATTTTGTACATAGAAGAATATTTGTACTAGTGAGACCAATATGGTATAAACTGTATTTCTTTGAAATGAAATATATGTTATATGCAAATGTGGTGTTTAGAGATATCACATTATCAAATATTTATATTTTTATTAAAATAGTTAAGTTAAATAATCTTCATATTAAAAACCAAATAATATGATTTATTTTTAAAAATTATAATCATCTTTTAAAAAAACGACAACATATGATTAAATCTAATAAAGTATTTATATTTATCACCATTATTACTTTTTTTTATATAAAAAAAAAAACGTAGAAGTCTTTACATTCTAAGATTTTTTTTATCAAGAATATAGCTCCTTTTTGGTTTACTCACTGATTTCTTTGCTTCTAATATTTTATTATTCTTCATCAACATTTAACTGATTTTTTTACCTTTTTGGTAGTTTGGATCAAAATTTGCATTGATGCATGTATCACATGAACACCATTACATAGATTGTCAAACACCTGTAGTTTTTTCACTTTTAATTTGTAAAGGTGATTCATCAGCTTCATTTTTTAAATTGATTGTCTTTGATACATTTTTTTACAGGTATCAATCTAAAGATTGAAGCAAAAAAATGTTGGAACTATTAAGTTGTATGATGCAAAAAAGTAAATTCACAAAATGAATCAATCTAGTTTTGAACGTGATTCAAAATCATTTAAGGTCAAAAAAACAAACTCCAAAAAATATTAACCAATTTACGTTCTCGTAAAACTTTGATTGTTTAAATGAAACACTAAAAGCATATATTGGTAATCATTAAGCGAATTTAAAAATTAAATTCAAATGAAAGACTTACATGTAATAATAATATTGGTTTTCATAAATGACCACAAATACAGAAAATGAGATAAAAGTACAAATTGAGAAACTGTATAAATATAAAAGATGGAGAAGGAAATCCATAATAGAAAAGCTCCACATTAGTCATACTTGATCATATTCTGATTATTGTCGGTAAACAAAAAATAAAACTTGAGTAGCTACAACAATATTAGCAAAACAAAACTAGGCAAAATAAAAAAGACTCATATAAAGAATACACATACATAACATAAATAACTTCTGCAAAAAATGAGGGATGAAAAATCGCAGTGAATAAAATATAATAACAGGGAATTTTTTTTTTTGAAAAAAAAACATTGATCAACATCATATAACCTACATAAATCTTAAAATAAAATGTAATAATTGTTAGCCTAGAAAAAAATCATGGAAGAATAACATTCGAGCATGTATAATAACAAAGTTCTGTAAAAAAAACTATATAACGCACAGAAAGACTAATGTAACAATAATTAAGAAAAATATAATAACATGAAATAAAAAACACTCATCAACAAAATATAACACAGAGATATCATAAAAAATGTAACAATTCTTACATAGACTTTATGGAGAAAGAATAACGATAAAAAAATCTGCAAAAACAAAACCCAACACACATCAATAACAACAAATAACTCACAACAAAACATAAAATAAACCATAAAAATGTAGCTTCCATTCGATTAGACATTCGAATGTATGATTTGTATATGATGGAGGATTCGGTAAAACAAAAGAAAAAAACGTTAAATGAGATATAATATATAGATGGAATAGAAAAACGGAATAGAAAAACGGAAAGTCAAAGTTATGACTTAATGAAAGACAATCAACATAACCAACAAAAATATTTTAAAAATCTAAAAATTTGAGAATTTTTTTTAAAGAAATAACTCTTTCACAAAGGGGAAATATGAAAAGAATATAATAAATGTCTCTAAGAGTTAGGTAGATTAAAAGTTAAGGTAATTTAATTAAAAATGAAATTACCAAATTAGCCTTCTTATAATGAAATACATATTTTTTATTTATGGGTATAATAATCTTTAACTTATTTAATATTTTAAAAACTCAAAACAATGAGAAAGTTCTTTTAGACAAATCCTACTCTAAGAATATGCCACATCATTCTTTGCATGCACGTGCGTGCGCGCACACACACACACAGATATATATATATATATATATATATATATATATATAGGGGCTCATTCAAGGAAGAACTGAGTTGTTTGTGGTAACCGTAAGATCCAATATCAACCACACCAATTAATAATCAATGGTTGAAAATAAAAGAAAAATTAATTACTTAAATTCCAAAAATAACTCTCCAACATTTAATGTGAGTATGTAAATAAAAGCAAAATGGTCAATTTTTTTAATTTAATGAGACTATTTTGATCGCCCTAGAAATCCTTTAATCTTCTAAAATTGCATTTCATGAAATCAAAACAAAAAGTACAAAAGATCTTGTTGGTTGTGCGAGAAGAGGTGGAAAACAATTTGTAGGCTTTGGTTGAACATGTTGTGTTACATTGTGGTTTCATGTGCTACCCAAACCCTAAGCCCATGGTGAGAATTCTATGATTGCAAACCATACAACACAACCTCCAAATCACTAAACCCATGGTGAGAATTCTTTGGTAGCCTACAACCAATAACTCATAAGTCATAAGGGGCTACAAATTCTAATAGTTACTGATGCGGGATAAGTTGTTACAATATCAATAGTGTATTAGGTAACACAAGATGTTGTGTTACATTGTGGTAAAAAAAGATTGTGGTTTCATGTGATAATTTAAGAATGTAAAATTAAAATTAATTGGAAGTTTGAAACGTATGAAATTAATAAATAAATATTTAATCTAAATTTAGTAATTTACTAACATGCCCTTTTACATTAATTTAAAAAGAATAATTAATATATTAAAATGGTTGGTTGAGGTTGGATCTCACAATTACCACAAACAAACAGTTCTCATTTGATTAAGCCTCTCTCTCTCTCTCTATATATATATATATAGTGGTTGGTTATTATACAACCCTTGACATTTGTGCAACCAATACAACCCAATCTCAACTGTCTATTTCATTTGATTAATATGCGATTTCATAGAAGTTTTAATTGTTTCCTAATATAAAGTATTGATCATAATTAATGAACCATATTCATCTTTCATAAATATTCAAATCATAATAAATGAATTCTCATCATTTCCATAAATATCTCAATTTATTAGGTTGCATTGGTTGTACAAATATGATGGGTTATATTTGAAACAAACTCTCTATCTCTCTCTCTCTCTCTCTATATATATATATATATATATAGAGAGAGAGAGAGAGAGGCACGTTCAAATGAAAACCATGCAATTCTTAGAAACCGTGTAAACTAATTTCGACCAATAGGAAAAATCTATTTTTTAATTAAATTTAATCATTAAGGGTATATTGGTAATTTGCATTGTTTTCTATTAAATATGGAAGTTATTAATAAATCTTAATTAAGATAACATAATAAAGGAAATTTTATAAATGGTAACATTTAAATATTTAATTAAATTATAATATTAAAAATTGGATTTTATTATATTGTGTCTCGATTTATTATTGCCAAGATTCATGAAAATCGTAAGTTATTAGATTAATAAATCCATGAAATCAGTAATAGAAAAAAATATTCATGAAACCGGTTTCATACATGGTGAAATTGGTGCATGGAGTAAGTGAAAAATGATTATGAAATGGGTGCATGATGAAACCGGTTTCATACATGGTGAAATTGGTGCATGGAGTAAGTGAAAAATGATTATGAAATGGGCGCATGATGAAACCGATTTCATACATGGTGAAATTGGTG